TTTTCAAATAATGTGTAACCCTTCATAGAATAGAGGATACTGATGGATATGGAGTAAAGTCAGGGTTGTGTCACAGCCAACTGGAAATTCATCGCAAACTCAGTGGAAGACAGGATTGCTGGCCGGCAGCAGGCAGGGAATGAAACTGCTCTGTGCAGGTTTGGGTTTTATGAACTTGCTTATTACAAAGAATTATTCAGTGACTGGTTTATGGAGATGTATTGTAGCCTAGAGATTGCTCACAAATTACTTGTTGCAACTGTTACACTCAGGATTGTCAAATTACTGTTCTGTGCTTTCTACTTGGTCACCTAAATTGCCAGTTATTTTTTTATGCTTCCCGACTGATTGACTCCAGTAAGTGTTTCCAAGGTGGCTTTGCAAACACTGCTGGCAAGAGCCTCTCATATTTCTCAGCCATAAAAATATTTACTTGACTTCTCCCACCAAAATTGGCTGACTTCTTCAAATTTTTGTCTAAATGGAGTTAAAAGAGGAGAAGATGGAGTCAAAGCAATGTGCAGAGTTTGTCCACATACATTAATGAGAATGTGAACATGGTGCTAGTAGAGCTCCAAGCTCTGCAGATCCATGCTTTGACATTGACATTTGACTTGTGCTGGACTGTTTCACTGATGTATCATTACCCTTTATTTGTAGTTCTTATCCTTGTGTAGTGAGTAATGACGATGGGAGGTGCACCTGGTTAACAGTGAGATGTCAATAGGAAGCAAGAGGCCAGAAAGAGGAAACAGTTAGGAAGAATCCTTTTCACCTTAAAAAAATATATTCTTTCCAGACAAAAACCTTTTAGTGGCGAAGTTACTGATAAGTAGCGCCTATCAATCTGATAGCCTCTGATGCTTAAGAAAGTTTTATTCATTCATAGACTGTGTAAAACAGAAAACAGTGAAAACTCTCTCTTACATACTGCGAAAGTATGAGCATTCAGGAGCGGGGGGCTCTCAGAGTTGCTGTGGTGTGCACTGTCACTTGGAGAAAGATATCCAAAAGGGGGAAGTTTGATTGGGATATTTTTTCTGATATTAAGTAACTGTATAACAGTATTTGTTAGTAGTTAAAACTAAGAAGAAACATAAAAAGAGCTGAGCTATGTGTTTATATATGTGTTGCAGGAGTATGCACTAAACATCTTACAAATCCTTTGTGTTATACAATTCTAGAGTCTCATCTGAAATACATTTATAAATATTTAAATACACTATGAAGTAAGAGGAGTTCCCTTAGCTGGATTGCAACCATGAGCTGCCTGCAAGTTAACTATCTATACTCGGTGTGACAGACCATGTGCTGCAGGCAGTAGGGTTTTTTAACAAAGTATAAAAATAACCATCAGAACAGTGTGAAGCCTGAGGCTGCATCCACGCGTAGTCAGGGTGCAAACGGCACCTTTCACGCATGTAGGTGCCTGGTTGCTGAGCTCAGCTGGCAGGATGCATTCATGTTGTGCTGTGCCTACTGCTTGCTTGCAAGTGTAATCCAGGCTCCTCAAAATTGGAGACTCTTTAGGTAGAGGTAAAAATGTTTAAGGGTAAGCATAAAATGTCTTAGATGGACTGTTCGATGAAATAAGGTAAAATGGTGTGCTTTTTCTTAACCCTAGTGTTATTTTATTTTCTCCTGGTTGACTTTCTTTTCTTATCATTGGTATTTTCTTCTTGATGTTTGTCTTAGATGAGGAGAAAGGTCAAGCATCTTCTTCTGATGGCAATCTCCATTGTTATTTGCCTAAATATACTTTAGCACACTTGTATGTCATTCTCCTGGCAAGTACCTTTGCAGTTGTCAGAGGTGTGCTGTTCTTACCTGAAGTTCAGGGTGCCAGGAAGCACCTGATTCTCTCTACATTGACTAAGATAATGAAATGCTATTTCTAATCCATTTTTTCTACTTTAATTTGGGAGTTATCTGCTAAGTGTCCTGTAAAACCCAAGAGAGGGGAAAAAATGACCACTTTTTGCACTTCATTGCTTGGCATGCCTTCATAAAATGCACTGTTTTGGTATTACATTGAGTATAACCAGAAACTAATGCAATACAGCATTAGACTAGAAACAAATCTGTACGATCATGCTTTTGCCCTCCATCTTCTTATCTTTCTTTTCAGAGATGGCTGCTGCAAGCATTGTTGGAAGGCTAGTCAAGAATCTTTATGAACTGTTTGTAGTGTTTGAGGGTTTGTGATTTCTTGAAAAGGCCTACGTGGCATACAAATAGCACCTTTCCCTTTCCCTCAGGCAGTATCCAATATGCTTAGAGTAGGTTCTTGCCTCCCTGAGCACCAAAATTGCTATTACTGGAGTAGCTAGGAGCATCCATCATCCTACAAGAGAGTCTGGAGGGGGATAAAAAAAAAAAGCCTCATCCACCTTTTCCACTTTGGTTGCAGTTCAGCTCTCCATGTGCCAGCAGTGCAGCCTGGGCTTGCTGGAGTGACCTACTGCCTTGTCAGGCGAGCATCATTTAGCTTCTAGCAGATCTAAAATGTACTTGGTCCCTGTGGCTCCCAAGGAATTTAAACGGATAGCAAGCAATTGCCCATTGGAGAGCTGTGTCTTCAAACCCCCTTGTATAAATTATTGCTTCATAGATAAAAGGAAATTATTTGCTATGCTTATGCGTTACTCTGCTTAGGTGTAATGACTGCATGTGAAGCAGGGCCAGTAAAGGTGACTCTTCTGAGAAATGCCTGCTTCCAATTCACTTGCTATTGGTTTTTAAAACCAGATATGATGTTTTTAGGAAAGTTTCAAGAAGCATTAGCGAAGGGGTCATCTCTTTGCGGGTCTCCAAGGGCATTACTGCTCTTCAGTTGGGCTACACTGACGTGCTGGAGGATGAATAGTTGGAACATACATTTAGTTTTCTTCTAATAACCTTGTTGTATAGGATTTTAGGACTAAGATTTGTTGTGAAAATACTCGTGCTCCAAAGAATTGTCTTATTTTTCTCCATATGCTGAGATTTGCTTTCCAAGCCATTGGCTCAAAAAAGTAATAGAATTGTGTACATACGCAGAAAAGGAGCTTCTCAATTATTTTGGAAAATGTGAAGCTGTGAGCGTGGATTTGCTGGGGCCTTCTCACCTTGAGTGTGTCCATACTCTTCTATTGCCAATTTCAGACAATAAAGCTGAAGTTGTATAATTGAGCTTTCTGATATTATTTAACTGCAAGCCCCTATCTGTAATGTAGGCTGAAGGAGTTTGTAAGTAGAAGGGGTTTTGAAATGGTCAGGTGGTTTGTTTGGTTTGGGGATTTCTATTGCAGTCAAAGAAACTTCTATTTGAAAGTGAGAATAATGGGTCATAAATTGGTAAAGATAGCAGTTGAAAGAAATGATTCCATGGAAAAGAACTTTTTGTTCCTATTTAAATATGGTCGATAAAATTCTATTATTTTCTTAAAATAATTAACTCAAATGAGCGTTTAGTTTTGAGGGAAATAAATAAATGACCAAACTTTCAGGCACATTAATATTTGATTTGGAGATAACTGCATAAATATTGAATTTGAATATTACATTCCAGAGCACTGCATTAAAATTGCAAGACTTTTCTATTATCCTTCATAATGGAACATGAAATTAGAAACTTGTTCATGGAAAGAAAAATTTCTCCACTCTCATCTACACATTTTCTGCACTGTTGTGTTAACAGAGGAGCTGGTCTTCTCATACTGTGAGAAGAGAGATAGCTATCAGTAGGACATAGACCCTGAAGTCATTTACGGTCCTTTTGAAAATTAATATGCACCATTTCATAATTGCATCTCGGTTCTTTGATTGGTGTAGAACAAAACTTTAACCAGGGAGTTAGCCTGCGGGGTTTAACACTCATATTTCCAGATGTAGGAGTCCAGAAAGCTTTGGTGATGTTCCTTAACTTCTATTTGTTTTTTCCTTTCTTGGATGTGCTTGAGGACCACTAAAATGTCTTCTTGACTGCCTAATCCTAAAAGAACCCTGGTGTAGCTCTGTGTTGTTCAGGAAGGAAACCCAGGTCTCACGGTGTGCCCCCCGCTGTAGGTGCCACAGCTTTCATTAACTTGCAGTTCTTACAGCCAGTGAGGTCTGTGGTCTTGTGGACATCAGTTACCATACGGTCTGGTTAGCTGGCGTTTATTATTGCTCAGAGCACGTGGGATGTATTGAACACAGCAACTCACCGTTATTAACAGCTCTCAGCCCCCCCTGCGAAGGCGTGTGCTAATTCATGGCTGCCCCGCTTCCCTTTCTGGGAAATAGTTCTGAAAATGGAATAACAAGTAGAAACCTGGATCAGACAGTCTCAAAACATGCGTGGGCATCCAGTCCAAAGTGTTTACAAACATGGATTTATTTTCCAACTCTTTTTCCTTCTTATATTGGTCTCAAATAATTCATTTCCATAACTTTACAGTTCTGCAGTTGCTCCTCTTATTCATGGTTCAGCAATAACAAACATTGTTCCCCGTAGACTTGAAAATGTCTACAGCAAAGAGCAATGCAACTGTATTTCTTCCTAATTAGCTATACCCCAACAGAAAAATCTGTGGCATAATAACATAGGAGAAAATTGGTCATTTTACGTTTATGTACAGTTTGCTGTTTTTCAAAACCTGTGTGTTTATTTAGAGACAGAAGCCTATCACACAGATTGTGTTTGGTTTCTGTTCGTGTTATGGCTCTTCTGCAGTGGTTTGTTAAGAGTTAATGAACATTACAGTTTTTTATGCCATACAGCTCTGTAACTTGCACAGTTCTGTCTTAGGTATAAATGATGTTTAAAAGCAATCTGTTGATCTTTGCCCCTATAACTGAACGTATAACTGATTAATCATTTATTAAACCTCTCTACATTATTTATAAGTAAAACAGAAATATAAACAAGTGACCTTTTTATCCTTTTTTGTTTGAGAAAGTAGCTTCTTTATTTATAGAGCTAGTGATGATAACAAAATACAAATTAACTTTTAATGACTGCTTTTGTATTCCCTCAGATTTATCAGAAAACAAGGACTGGATCGGCTTTTCCTGGAATGTGATACCCACATGTGGCGCCTGGGGGACAGGAGGATCCCAGAAGGAATTGCAGTCGATGGAGGGTCGGACTGGTTTCTCCTGAACAGGAAGTTTGTGGAATATGTCACTTTTTCTAATGATGATCTGGTAACAAAGATGAAGAGGTTTTACTCTTACACCTTGCTTCCTGCTGAGGTATGTGAACTCAAAGCAATCCCTCTCTGTGTTCATAACTGCAACATTTGTGCTTGTCCCAAAGATTACCAAAGTCAGAGGGGCTTTTGCCTGATTTTGGTGGGACTTGGATCACCCCCCAGTGGGTAATGAGAAGTTCACTCACACAAGTCCTTTAGTGTTAGAACTAATTTTGCAGTTGTTTAGTTGTTTTATTTGTTTGTGGGACTTTTTTGCAAGGAGTGGCTTTGTTTTATACTTTTAAGCCTATTAATCTATTACTGAACAACCGAAAATCCAGCTGCCCTTTGCTTGCAAATAGTTCTTCCACAAAGCCTTCGAAGGCTGTTAGAAATGGCGAATTGTCTTCCTAAGTAGCTTTCCTCGCTATTATACAGCCTTTTTCTTTAAAAATAAAAACCCCACAAACAAAGCTTTATTGTTCCGTTCAAAACTCATCTAGAAGGCATAGTCACAAATCATTTAGATCATTCAGGAACCGCTCTGGCTACAAGCGATGCAGAAGGGGAGTGCACACCGGGGTGGGTTTTGGTCTCGCGTGTGGCAGCGTGTCGGGGAGACGCGCGTTCCCTGCCAGCAGAGCCCAGAGCCCGGAGGGCTGTCGGGCTGTGCTACTCCTGCCCCCGCAGGGACAGTGCTGCCCTGACTCATGGGGCCCTGCTCCCGGGGTATGCAGCGTGCAGCCAGCCCAAGGACAAACTGATGGCTGTCTTTAGAACAATCATTTCCTTCCTCACTAGTGGCCCCTGAACATTTTGAGGGATTGATGAGACCGATCTTGCAAATCTAGGCTTATTAGCTTGCGGTAGAGTGCAGCGATTGTCATCTTTTGATAGGGGTTTATTATTCCACACACATTTTGAATAATCTTGCTTTAATCCCATTTCTGTTAAAAATCACCTTTTCTCTCAACTCTGATAACCTTTTCATCCATTATCTAGGAGAAATTTCTGTATCATTATAAAAGGACACAGGGCAGTGGGTAATTGGGTAGGTTTTTTTTTTTTCCCCTCTCGCTTGAATGAGAATGGATGCCTTTATGGGTTTAACCAAACAGTTCAAGCATAAAATCCATATTCACTGGGCTGTCATTTAACATTAAAAAGGGTAGGGGGATTATTTGGGGGCCAGCCATGCTAATGTTGTGCTGGTTATTTATAGGTCTTACTATTGCTGATTTTAAAGAGAAGTCACTGCTCCAAAAATCGTCTCTTACAGGGCTAAATTTGATGATATTCCGCAGCTTCTTTCTACAAGGTTTTCTTTGCAAGATACATAGCTGGTTTCTTAAAATCACCCTGCCTGTTAACCTGCTATATCAGTCCCCATTACACATGATTTATGTAATAGCTGATATTATGATGGTATAATTAGGATAGCCCAATAGGAATTCCTTGCTGCCTTGAGTCAGCAAATAAAGACTTATGATTTCAGACATAATTGCAGGAGGCAGAATGTCCTTCTGGTGCCTGGGTGAACTGTATATTTCAGAACAAGGCCATTCAACTAGGAATGCATTTCAGAGTGCTGGAGATAGAGGCACCCACAGAAGAGCTGTCTGAGACTGTATTTTTTTCAGAGTAACTGGTGTGATGATGAATGTTGAGAATTGTCTTAGGAAACAACTTGAGATATATCATTAAAACATTGGTCAGGAAAATAGTCCTAAATCTGTTAGACCAGAGAGTAACTTACAGGAGAGAAATAATGGAAATTGCTTAGAATTGCTTTTACAGCTGACATAAAAATAAAATAATTGCTGTCACTGGTGCCTTTGCTGGGGTCCTTTGGACTCTCAGTGCCCAAAGCTGGTCATTGCAGAAGTGCAGTTATTCTGTGCAGGTTATTGTAGCAAGGCCTCGACTGTGTGTTACTGCAGTTTGGCTGGGTCTGTAGCGTGCTGCAATTTTTCCCTGCTCTATGGAATGCGCACATGTAGGGTGCTTTTCATATACGGTGGAACAATGGAGCTTGTTACTTCTCCCATTTAGAAAGAAAATAAGTCACTTGCATTAAGGTTCAGGCCCATGGCCTGAAGTGAAGGAGAAAATTGAAGTCTGAGGAGCTGAATGTACTGATCTGCTCTGTCTTTCTTGCAGTCCTTCTTTCACACTGTCCTGGAAAATAGCCCGTACTGTGACTCCATGGTGGACAACAACTTGCGCATCACAAACTGGAACCGTAAACTTGGTTGCAAATGTCAGTACAAGCACATTGTTGACTGGTGTGGCTGTTCACCTAACGACTTCAAACCAGCAGACTTCCACCGATTCCAGGTAACTAAGCAGCCTCTTCTCTGATACCCACAAAGAAGCACTTCCCCCTCTGCTGGCGTGTGGAGAGCCATCTGGCTGCATGGCTGCAGCAAGGAGTGGGAAGAGAAGCTTTTACCCCATCAAGCAAGGTGAAAGAGGTGTGAGGAAGCTCCGCTCTTAATTTCAGGAGTATAAAAGGTTGCTTCTCCTGTGCTTTGGCCCTTGAGACTTACTACTGCGTGATAAGGTCACAGAGCAGCTCTTTGGACTATTTGGCATTGGTAGATCTGTTGTGCTAGAAAGGAGGGAAGCTTGACACATATCTCCCTGTACCAATATTACTGGGTAACTCTCATGAATTTATTGCAAAGGGTTTTTTTCCAAAGTTCCAGCTCAGGTGCTTTTATGATTTCATGCAGCTCCTGGCTTTCATTGCTAAGCAGTGTTTTTCATCTTTGAAAAAAGTTTAAAAGTTGACTGGAGTGCCTGCTAGAGGCTAAGATAGCACAAGGCAAATCAGGTTTTGTGATTATATTTACCAACATTGTTATATTTAAGTTTATCTCATGGTTTTGGTGGCCAGAGTCAAGTGGTTTCAATCACCCAGGCTTAGCAGGACTGCCTTAAAAAATTTAATTGGTTCCGTTGTGAAACAGTTTCCTCAGGGCAGACATGAGAGCAAATCCTTGTGCTCAAGAGTGCACTCAGTCTCAAGACTGTATCTGGTCTGTGTATCTTCTATTAAGAATGAACAGCCGCTTGTTCCAAGGTCACTAGATTTGCAATTCCATCCCTGCAGCTCCTCGGGGTTCCCTGCATAAAAAGCGTGTTTGTTCAGGCTTTGTGTGGGATGGGGAATGTGTTACCCTACAGCACAAAAATGATGACTGCTCCAAAACAGAGATCTTTTCTTTATTGTAATGTGCTGCCTACCAGGCGTGCTTGAAGTCAGTGAAACAGGCACTCACAGAAAGAGCAAACAAGACATTATCTAAGAGGGGCTCTGCTGCCCCAAACACCAATCTTAGGAAAGTCTCCAGGACAGAATAAATGGCAAGTCGTAAAAAACTCCTGCCAGTCTGCAGAAGCTGACCTGCTCCAGGCTGGGAAAACAACCCACAGCGACATTTCAGAAAACAATCAGGTAAACTCAGTTGCAAGGGAAAGTTCAAAATTAGAATAAGATGTAAAGGCAACTTCTGACACTTGCCTGGTGAGAGAGCCCCTCGGATGAACACACAGCACCAGGCGACTTGCTCGCGGCTCCCAGGGAGGCACAAAGCAAGCTGCAGAGGAGGAGATCAGAGAGTCCACAGCATGCGCCTCTCAGAGTAAAACTGAGCATCCTCAAAAGAATTTTTCAACCATCTGGGGCACTTTTGAACTCCTTGGCACCTCAGACCCCATGGTCAAATATGAGCAAGGCAAAATAAAGGCTTTTAAAAAGCTAATGGTAGTTGAGTAGTATATAAGCCAGTAACATACCCAAGATTGTATCAAGTGCAGAGCAAAAAATCTGTACGGGACCAGTCAGAAGCTGAGAAACCTCAGCCATAAATGGCACCTCTCCCAGAGTTCTCTTACCACCTTGTAGCAGCAAATCCATACACACAAAATGCTGCTTTGCCTCTTCTTGAGTCCCTATGCCATGGGATGCTTTGCTCCCTGCCTGACTGCTAATTACACATGCCAGTGCTAGCATAGGGGTTCAGAGAGCATTCCCCAGCACTCCGGCACATGGAGCCTTCCAGAGCAGCAGGGAGTGGCTGTTGGTACAAAGGGATTGGCACACCTTCCTTTTTGTTTAGTAATTATGTAGTTTTTACCTGAATTTTAATGGCAGCCTGTCGCAGGTGGGTGACTTAGATCACTGAAGGAACCGCTTCAAAGCTGTTATCAAAGTGGTTTTAATATGATGTTGTAAAAGTGTGACTTAACAAAGTTTGATGACGAGGTTCACTCAGTTAATTGCTGCATGGGAAAACATACAAAGGAAAATTGAGTTGCACTCAAGTTAGAATGATTCACAGAGAGACCAGGGATGCAAAGGGTAAGGGAGGCCCTTCCATTGGGTCAAGAGGTTCAGAAGGGACCCCCTTGCTTTCTGAACTCCTTTTCAGAGAGGAGTCCAGGTGCAGCTGGATCCAGACTTAGTCCCAGACTTTGTCAATGGTTTGTGTCTGAAGGCCATACGGGTTAAGGTGTCGAGCACATCTATTGCACATTCTTAATGACAAATGGTGACAAAGTGACTTACCTTTTAAGTCACCTTTGCCCACAGGGAGGACCAGTTCACGTCCTCAGCTCCAACCCATTGCTTAGGACAAAGTATCATGGCTGAAAATGGGAACTCACTCCAGTGTCTTTTCCTTTTGCACCACCACAGCAGACCGCCAGGCCAACTTTCTTTGCCCGCAAATTTGAAGCAGTAGTGAATCAAGAGATAATTGGCCAGTTGGACTACTACTTGTACGGCAACTACCCCTCTGGCACACCAGGCCTGCGGTCCTACTGGGAGAACGCGTACGATGAGCCTGACGGCGTGCACACCCTCAGCGACGTCGCCCTCACCATGTACCATGCGTTCTCCCGCTTGGGCCTGCGGAGAGCCGAGACTTCGTTCCACGCTGCTGGAGACAACAGCTGCCGGTTAGTCCGACTCTGTCTGTCTTTTTCTGGGTGTTTCAGGAGACACAAACTGGATGGCCAAGTGCCGATGGAGGTTCATCTACTTGGCTGTGCTTGCTGGAGCCTACTGTCACACACAGGGCTAGGCTGCTGTAGGTGTACAGCACTTATTTCCAGGAGTATTTATGCCCATAATAAAGCATTGGTTATTCAGGGTTGACGTTATGTGACCTGCTTGCTGAACTCTTAAGGAGCTCCTCTCCAGCCTGATGAAGACTGACAGGATCCAGTTGGGCAGTGCTACCCCCACTGCTGTGTTTTCTTGATTAATTTCGGCAAGTGTATTATACCTGCGGCTCCTAAACCCTCCGTGTGATTGCAGCAGAGGTCATGTTCACCTCTATTATGCTTACCAAAAGCAGAGGACAGGATTTCAGGATTAATCTGAACACAGGCAGGTTAATGGTCCTTGCTTGCTTTTTCCCCTGGGCACATACATGGAGTACAGAGAGCTACTTGCTTGAGCTCGGTCTGCCTGCTTGGTACAGCTGTCTGTGCCAAAAGTGTTGCAACTGGTGGGGTTTATTAGCATCAAATAAACAAAATGTTTGTCTGTATAATTATATATATACATGGCAAATAAGGGTCCTTATTGTTTAAAGGGAATTCCCCTTTATTCCAGATTCCTTTTTCACCAATAAGCCTAGCAAAGAAGAATTCAGCCTAAAAGGCATTTGAAGGAAGAATTCCTGGAGTTAGACTTGCACAGAAAAGGCTCTCTTCATGATAGATGTTTGCTGCCTACAAACACATCTGAAACTGTTTACGTTCAAAGCAGAGAGGGTTCATCTTTTAAACTCTTACTTTACAGTCTCTTAATTCCTTCTCCAGAATGTATTTTTTGAACCCTGCCTTTTTTTATCCTAATACAAAACACATACAGCCTAAGTCAGCAAATACTGAAGACGCTCCTTGTGCTTTGACGGGTGGACTTTGCCCCTCTTGTGTTCTCGAGAGGGAGCCGAGTGCGCCTTGACCTTCCCACCTAGTCATGGAAGTGCTGAGCAGTGCCCCATTAAAAAGATGTGGCAGTAAGTGATCCAGATTCCTGTTACAGCTTTGCCAGTGAAGGTTACGGGTGCAAAGCAATAAAAGATCAATAACAATTAGATAGAAATAATTACTAGTAGCATGCCTTCCTCATATAAAATAAAGGCAAAGCTGAAGAAGTCATTTGTCCTGCAGAGTGAAGCCAGCAGGAGGATGGGAGCTATGTATAACCAGTACTGAAATAATTTGACAATTACTTTTGTGCTTATTCCTTTTGCCAGTATTCTGATGATGATTTATATCAATAATCAATTTCATTTCTGGGGAGCTTTTCATTGCGCAGGAACTCAAGGTGCTTTTCAAGCTTGCTCAGATTATAGATAGGGAAACCGTGTCATCCACCGCTGATTGCAGCTGTCTCTGGGATAAAGCACAGCTCCTACACCGTGGGCTGGAGCCTCACGAAACAGTGCAGGGAGGAACTGCAAACAGTGATATGGAGTGGAGGCTTCATTTTCATACCTACCTGAGCCCCCTCAAAACACTATGAGTCAGCATCCAATTTAACCCACAGAAAGGTGGATAATCCTCAGGTTTATGATTCACATCTCGTTCTCTCTTGAGACTATGTTGTCTTTTTAGGTGTATGCATATATACACTTCCTTTTCCCTCTCCTGATTTTGCACGTCTCTGAGGTGGTAATGGCAGGGATATATTTGGGCTGAGCACCTCGACAGCACTGCCTTTGCCTGGGGCTAACAGCAGCGTGAAGGAGCCGGTGCTGCAGTCCCCCCCCAGCGCGTCTCACAGCGCTGCAGGCACTGCCAGGAAAGCTCCACCGAGTCAATCCCCTGCTGCCACCCGCAGCGGCCCAGGAGACTTTTATAAGAGAAGCTGCCTCGCACGCTTTCCTAACAAGGGCTAGCTCACAGCCTCCCAAAGCTGTGCCCCCTGCAGACTGCTCTGGCACCAAATTAGATTGCACATCAGCATCTTCAGTGGAAGCAACATTAATGTGTGATTGAGATTTAATTTATTTCTCTCCATCTCTAGGCGTTTTTGCTCACTGCTGCCAAGAGACAATTTACTCAGACTATTTCAAGGATATTGTAAATATTTGCTGCTGCACACATATAAAAAAGGAGCCTTTAGTACTGAGGACAGAAGTCAGATTGTTGCTGCTGTTGGCTGCGTAGCTTTGCTGTGTTTTCACTCAGTCCATCAGTGCTGGCCCTGTTTGTACCACGTCTTGTTGTGTTTATTTCCTGAGCTCTAGAGACTTCCTTCTGGGTGTTGCTGGTTTCATGTAATGGAAAGTCCTTCTTGGTGAGCTCTTCATAGTGCTTATGTCTTGAGATGTAATAACTCGCATGAGGACTCAGACTTAGCTGACTTGACTGGGAAGGTGTGATACCGGTTGGTTTCAAATGTGTTGCAAACACTCGTTTCACAGTTAATGTCAGTGCTGTAAAGAAGCAAAATATTTTATTTCAGAGCGATGAACAACATGGTTTTAATTATTTATGCATCCATATGTACACACACACATCATTACAGAAGTTTCTGAGACTGTAGCAGACAATTGATAATAAATTTTAATTATTTGAAACCATGACTACACTGTCTCTAAAATCCAAACTAAAACCAAAGGCTTCCAATCTCCCAATAAGAGGTTTTTCCTGTTTGTTTGACCTTTTTTCAGTTTATTTTTAAATATGAGTAAAAAAATTCACGGCAAAAGGAACTTCAGGTCTTTAAAGAATGTGAAGTTTATTTCCTAAAATAAAGGAGACCTAAAATGGGGACCGGGATCCTGGTGTCCTTTGGTGCAGCACTGCCCTACAGAGCACTGTCCTTGCAGAATCGGTTGGGATCAGGTTTGGATGCGGGGAACGGCGCAGGGCATCAGCTGGGCCATGCCCGGCCTCGCAGCACCCTCTGCTGTCCCCAGCGAGCCAGGGAGGCCCTGCCATTGCCAGGCACCTGGAGGGACTGACCCTGCTGAAGGCAGAAAAAAGGCAGCCACCTGATTTGGAGCAACGGACATATTTCTTCAACATCATTTATCCTAGCAAACAGTGCTGCAGCCCAACAGTGTATAGCTCAGGGTGGCAGTTGTTACCCAGAAGAGGTAGTAAAGGAGGGAAGTTTTCTGGCACAGAGAGGTATCTCCTAAAGAGCTTAGAGCTGTGAATATGTTCTAAATGAGCATATATTCTTAGTAACATTTTTTATGTTTCAGGGTAATCGGAACAGCCTAAGAATATTTGATAATGAGTCATGAACAAATTTGAAATCTCTTAATGTACAGTGGTGAATTTTCTAGTTGAAATGAATGCTTTTTAAGCTATTAGCTCCAAGTAAATGGAGATTTCATGTCTCTCTTGTGTAACTGATGAGCATGTGCATGTGCTGTTTCACAGATACTACCCTATGGGCCATCCAGTTTCCGTCCACCTTTACTTCCTTGCTGACCGTTTCCAAGGCTTCCTAATCAGACACCACGCAACCAATCTGGCTGTCAGTAAACTGGAAACTTTGGAAACCTGGGTGATGCCAAAGAAAGTCTTTAAGATCGCAAGTCCACCAAGCGATTTTGGAAGGCTGCAGTTCTCAGAGGTGAGTATTCGTAGCCACCCATGCAAAATATCACAAGCCTCTGGAGAGGCTGCATACTAATTCAGCAGCCTTTTGAAACTGTATTTCTATGTAATTTTTAGGTGAGAGTGTCTCTCCAGTATAATGTAAGATCTCTTTATTAAAGGCAATACCATTGCGAGTTCAGATCTGTGCTCAACCCTCACATGTTACGTTACTTTGAGTATCCTCATTCCCTCTTGTTTTAAGGATGAACTGAAGGCATTTAGTGTTGTAAAAGGGGTTCACTAACTTAAAAGTTTTGTGACTGTGATTTTTGTGTGCACTGTGAGAGATACCTGGGAAAAATGCCATGTTTCTGCAGCTCCAGATGTGACCAGGAATGTGGTAAGCATTCCTTTCGAGACCAGACTGAAAAAAACCTCATAAAATTAGTGATAGTCAGACAGTTGTGCCACATGAGCAGAATATTGATGTTGTAACACAAAAGAGAAAATTATCACAGCAGCGGCTGAGATTTCCCACAAATCCTGTTATTTCTTCTAGGAACTTGTCTCAGGGTCTGACATAGAGTGTAAAAAATGTACCCTAAAATGTATCTGGAGAGTTGACCACTAATAGGACCCAGCATCTGTGTTCTGTTTTAAAGATATAAGTGTCTGAGCAGTTAATTTCATGATTTTTCTTGTTAAGTCACAAATTTCAATTAAGGTATAAAATTGATTGAACAAATGTGTTCCAGTCATTATGGCCAAGTTCATAAATTACCATCTTCTTGGGCAATTAAGAAATGCCTAGGTAGGATTCAGTGTTTTGGTGTGCATGGCAAATCCATGACACTAATGTGCCATTAAAGAGATGGATGGAAAGTGTGTTTCATTTATCAATGTGTCTGATGGTAGGTTTGCCATTTCATGCAGTGATAAATGGTCATACAAGCTTTAATTCTCGTGATTTGTAGTATTTCTGCTGTTTATTTGGCACTTCTAATCTCGCTTTCAACCTCATGCCTGCTCTGGGTCTTTCTTTTGAAAGCAACCAGGCTGGCAGCAGGAAGAGTTTTTTCTAATTGTATGATGAGAAGTACGTTGATCTCAGTGTTTTATAAATCAGATAAAAACCTTTAGAAAGAATACATCTGACCTCATCTCAGTTGTAGGGAGGAAACAAACCTGGGACCAGATTCCCTGGCCACTTGCCAGGTACCCCCTAGTCCCAGTGCATTGCTACCAAACCTTTTTTCCCCAAAACCAGCCCTGCAGCAACTGGGAGCCTGGTTGGCAGATGTCCTGGAGCAGCAGTGCCCGATGTCAGCCTCCTCTGATGGAGGAAGCGGTGGCACAACGGTGACCTCTTCGCTGCCCTGTGCCCACAGCTCTGTGGCGTGTGTCGCCCTGCAGGGAGGATCCCTGGATCCCGTGGGATTAATGAGCCGCTCCTCACGGCTTCATAGACCACAGCTGGGCTGTGAGCAGCCCTGTAGGAACTGCTCCTGCAGGGAACCCGTGTGAGTGCAAAGCATGGGAAGGATTTAATCACCGGCGAGCTCTTTTTTTCAGGCTAAGGAAGCATTTTCTTCTATTTGATATGCACAAAAACAGATTTGGTGGCTGCTTACTTGTTTTCATTATTTTTTCTTGCCTAAACTCCTTAATTGTCTTCTCCTTTCATAGATGATTCATATTTTAAAAGACCAGGAGGTACAAAGTAAATCATTTAATCATTTCTTAATTGTTTATTTTACTTTCTTCCTTCCCCTGGCCTACAGGGATCTCTGCCTCTGAGCCAAATTATTCTCTCACCCTGGTATAAATCCAGCATTAACCTCTTCAGCTTCAGTGTGGCTGGAAAGCCTCTGATTTGCTACTGCTTATTAAAATGCCACTTTCTTTGTCAAAGTGCAGCAAGTGTAAAACAAACTTAGTAGTTCAGCTGAGGGTATCAGTGTTTGCAGGTTAAGCGCCAGAAAAGAAACTTAAGATTTGTGCTTACTGGGACATATAACGGCTGGTTTGTACACAACTTTCACCCCTTGATCTGCCAGAAGTTTAAAACTTAATTGGGGTCTTTATAACTGGGAGCTTTCTTCCCTCTCCCAGCTCACACCACCGAGACAGGCGGAAAAAGCACAAATTGGCTGCATTGAATGTGCTCCTGGGTGTATTTGTGACCCTGATGCACAGCTGAAATTGCAGTGGAGACGATGGGATCTCTCCAGTCAGCCCTTCCTGCCCTCGGCTCCTCCGCTTTGCTTCCCTGACTTGGCTTCCCAAGTAGAGGGTTTCACCGCACACCATGTACAGACAGGTGGAAATAATCAGCCGGTTGGGCTGCCCCACGGCCAGTGGGGTTAATGATAGCATTTCAGTGGCACACAGCTTCACTCTTGGGCTGGGTGAAATAAAATAAACTTACAGGAAATCCAAGCGAGACGATTTCCAAGCATGGAACTCCCACACCTCCTAAAATTGGCTCGTGCACAGCACACGCAGTATGTGTCCCACAGCCTGGGCTCATGACAACTTTTACATGGAAGGCAGAAGACTGATCTGCTGTACAGTACTAAGTCTCAGCTCTGCGTATATCAGTTGAACACTAAGTTCATTTCTGGTCTTGTTAAGACTTGTGATTCATCACAGAGAATAAAATAAACTAGGTGGCAGGCAATTAGCGTGCATTGTGTGAACCTAATGGTCCTGTTTGTGGTGAGCAATGAGACACAAACCCATAATCAAGGCATAATTTATCTTGGGAAAATTTTATCTTGGGACTGAACAGAGATAGAAACAGGAGTTTTAAGCCAATGAGAGAGTTCCAGCTTTCAGAACGTACCCTGTGCACAGTGCCTGCTCTTGAAGCCCAAAATAATGGTGATTAAAATAATGATGTGTAAAATGCTACTTTCTCTGCCACATCCCTTCATAATTTATCAGATATTCACTACTGCTTGATTTCATCCCATACTTTGTGTATTCCATTTGAAAATGAAAGCCTACTTACAATGTTTTAAGGACTATGAAAAATATTATAGGACCGTAGTATCTCTTGGCATGTAAAATCAGACAGCTCAGTACTGGGAACTCAGCTCTGCAGAGTTCAAGGGAAGAGGTATAAACCTCTAACCAGTGCTTTACGTAAAATTCCCTTTAAAATACTGTGCTTCTAAACCCAGCTTGTGCTGTAAGCTGTGCAGCATGGGAGAGTGTGTCCCCGGCTGGGATCCGGGCATCGAGGGCAGCTCTGTAAATCCTTGTGGTGGTGCGAGCCCCGGGTCAGGCCCACGCTGGGTGTCGCAGGGTGCCCAGGTGCCTTCCCTGTGTGTTGCTGAGGGTCTGTGCTCTGGCAGTGTTTCCTGTGGTTCTTTTTGTGCTGTTGTTTTCTTAAACACACCTGACACTGGTGTTGTGACAGGCTCTTGTGCAAAGACACCAGCATGAGAACTGTCCCTTCCTCCATGTTCTTCTCCCTTTGGCTGTAACTTTTGGTTTATGTTAGGGAACTGAATAATGTGCCTGCACAAAGCTTAACACCCACCCAACAATTGTGTTATAATTTTTCCCTGAAATTAACCCTTGGTCTTCTACGCACCACTCTATTCTACACATGAAAGGGTTGAAGCACAGGGATTATAACTTTCTGATCTTTTTTTCCAGAGATGAGAGATTGAAGGGGGAAACGGATGTTGAGGATGAATGTTTAATTTTTGAGGATAAAGTAAGATTTCTTAAGGAGTTCTTTCTGAAGTGAGCAGTTCTTCAGTAAGAAATAACAAATGTGGTGGTAGAGCTTCCTTATAGGCTTTTCTTTGCCCAGGAGGGTGTAGATTTGTTTCACATGTTGTGGCTTTATTATTTCCAGGTCCCTTGAGCTCCAGTAGGTGTGACATGGCCGCACTCAGTGGAGGCTGGCAGAGTAGATAATAAGATCGGGTCAGGAAATTTTCTTTCTCAGCTGATTTCCATACATATTCAGTCAGTCTTGTCAGGGGAGTACGCACTGACAGCTCCTTGAGGCAGTCGATGCTTGGGTCTGATATCTGGGCTACGCTGTCTGCTTTGATTAGCTGGTGTGCTAGGTGAAATACCTCTGAAACACCAGCGAGTCTGCTGTGTTGATTGCAGAGTAGTGGAAGGCTCATTTTGTCTCGTGTTCTGCAGTGTCATAGTCCGGCAGGAGGAATTTCTATGATGACAGATGGATTTAGGATGGTAGGTTTTTATTCTACTGGCCTTGTAGCTTTTTGCTTGCAGTTGTCCTGTAATTTGTCTGCCAACCACAGTGATTTATTTAGAAGCGACTGGGGATTGGACAGTTTCCAGTCCAGGTATCAGTGGTAGTAGGCATCTGGTAATTGTGTTTTACAGATTTGTGGGGATTTGGGCATTATATTGGAACCACTTATTCTCATCAGCTGAAACAAAATCTAGAAGAAAAAATTCTGAATCAAATGAGCTACAATTATTTGTTATACTTTCAGGAAAGCAGGATCTGAGCATACCTGTGTGAGGTGAAGATTAGGGACGAGGGCAGTTCTGTGTTGGGTAAATCTTCAATATCCACGTTCTGAAAGAGGGGATCTTGTCTGTATGCGCATGGGCCTTTGGAGACAGCTTGAAAGAATCCCATGATTTCTGTATAGGGAACAAATCAACTCTTAGGTCATCTGCACTGTTTGTTTGGAGATTAAGGCCAAAGAAGATCTGAAGAACTATGAGGGATTTCAGTACCAGGCTGGCCAAAACATCTCTATGTCTCTCCAAGGAATGACATCAGATGTCTGCTTGCCAAAAGAAGCCCAGGGGTTCTCCTGTTCTTCACTTCAAATGGGGTCCCTCAAATCTTTTTGTGTTTGATATTGACCACTTTTGATTTGAGATCATGGGAACAGGACCTCATAGGACAAGCGAGGTAGGCACTTTCTCCAAAAGCAAACATGCTGCCTTCAATACTGCACTCCAACAGGTTGCCTTCTTGAGAGTTAATGGAAGTGGTTTGTTAATGGTCAGCCTCAAAAACACATGCTAGATTTAGTGCTGGGATAGTAAGAAGTCTGACAGTTGGCCTAAAATGACCACTTGCTACATTTCCATGCGATCTGTTCAGAGATGTTTATTGTCAGTAGTGTACGAGTATTAATGGCAGCAGCTTGTAAGTTTGTATCACCCCGTGGGTTATGGGTGAACCATTAAAATTCATATAAAGAGCACTGAAATATGAAAACTGCTAGGAAAAAGAAAGGTCCATTAAATATTTACACTAGGTTATGAATCAGCTGCTTTACTGTTAGTTAGTGAATAAATAAAAAACAATGTCAGTATTATGACAGTAAGAAAAGAGTTTACCAGAAATAACTTCGTACATCAGGCAGGAAGGGAGTGTGAGGAGACAGCCTCTGTGGATAGACTGTCGGAAAGGACCCAATGCAACTTGTTCTGAAGTCACTAAAAGGCTCTTCCTTGGTCTCAGCAGTAACTGGGTAGGTCTCTACTGTGGGTCTGTCTCTCAAATGCATAAAATATTTTCATGACCCAGGAGATGGTGAGGGGGATTTTTTTCTATGCAAAGGCTGTGTTCAGTCACTAGGCTTGGTTCTTTATTGGCTGCTTCCATGTGGAGGAAAAGGAGAGCTGCTCTAGCCTGTTATGTCACTCATAATATAAAGAAAACCCTTACATTGATCAACAGTAGAAAGCTGGATTAAAAGAACAAGCCTTGCATTTGAGGTTGTCTCACAACTTCTGTACATGTCATGTTCTTAGGTCATGTTGCTATCAGCCTTTATATGTATGCAAAATTAATGTCGTTAAAGAAATATGATTTGTGTGTCTTGAGAACCATTATTGGACATTAGATGCTTACAGAGATGATGTTAGCAGCAATGTGGTCTTCAATTTCAGATTGGCACCGAATGGGACGCCAAGGAAAGGATTTTCCGGAATTTCGGAGGACTCCTCGGGCCGACAGATGAGCCAGTTGGCATGCAGAAATGGGGAAAAGGCCCCAACGTCACCGTCACTGTCATTTGGGTGGATCCTGTTAATGTCATCGCAGCAACGTATGACATCCTTATTGAATCCAGTGCCGAATTTACTCACTACAAACCACCTTTGAATTTGCCCCTGCGACCCGGTGTCTGGACGATAAAAATTCTGCACCACTGGGTCCAGGTAGCTGAAACCAAATTCCTTGTTACTCCTCTCACCTTCTCTAATCGGCAGCCTATCAAACAAGGTAAGTTTTATTATTTGGTACAGGAATAATACAGTTGTTGTGTCTGTGTTCACTGTAAATGCTACTGTTAGAAACAAAGTAGCACTGTATTGGAAAAGGAGAAAAGAAAGGAATTTTATAGATACTAAATCAGAAGAAATTGTTGCACTAAGACAAGTGGAAGTGTCTGTATCCAGTCTGTAAAACACAACCGCTTTGAACAAAAGGCTATTTATATCTTTAATGTATGTACAGCTCAGAATCCGGAGAACTTCAGATTCTCAGTAATCTAACAGCTATCGTAAAAGCCATCATTTAGAAATAGAAAGAAAAACGGACCTTTCTCTGCTGCTCTTCATTCACATTTGGTCATCTTGACGAAGACTGTGTGTTTAACGATAAAAGCATTAATATACAAAATGCTGAATTAGAGAAAGTTACCAGAGCTCAGCTGACACATTGTCAGGTCCAGGCACTCACTCTTGCCCGATACCTGCTGAGAGCTCCTCAGTACATGCCAAGCAGGTGTGGTACAGAAATACCTGTGGATACAGCGATACCAGTAAGTGCACTATCAGACCCACACTGACATCTTTTAGAAAGAAACCATTTTCTTCCCTACTACAGCAGCCCTGAGTCATCCAAATACAGAGGTCCATCTTGTGCTGCCGGCATGTCCAGGCTGCACTGCACAGGCGTTGTCTGAGGGCTCAGGTCTTCAACCAGTGCTGAGGACACTGGGCTGAGAGAAGAGAGAATGTTTGGTAGCCACACCTGTTTTCTTCTTCAATAAGATCAAAACAAGTTTGTTGCTGTGAATATCTTTACGATTCTTCTTAACATGCTCAAGTGCTTCCATCTGTCCAGTATTAATATTCATAACTTTAGACATCTTAAAGTTGCTAGATACATGAATGATCCTATTAAGTTTTCAGAAGTTCTTCTTCCTGACAAGGCAGCAAATAAACTAAGTCAGGCATTTACCTTCCAGCATAACACGCTGCTTCTGTAATGCAAACACCACCAGACAACTGCTGAGAGCTAATGCAGCCCTTATCTTGCTCAACAGGAGCTTGATTCTACACATTTCTCAGCAGAAGAGCTAACTTACTGATTTCTTCTCCTAACATTTGGTGGCATCATTTCTTAAGCAGAAACTAAACCACCCACAACCTGCTGCTGTTATTAGCTAATAGGCAATGATAAATTGTGAAGAAACACCATGTGTAGAAGAAATACATTTTTAAAGTTTGGGGCAACCTACTTCTAAACACAGCTGTTACTGACTCGTCTCCTGGAAATTAATGAATTCCATGGTTTTTGCTAATTCAACAGTTAAGGCATAAATTGGATGGAAAATGTGGCATGTAGCTAGCAACCTTGCTGCTTTTCCCTACGAAGTGAAAGCCCTGTGGAGAGTTACGCGTGTCTCACTCTTCAACTGTGAGCCCACACTTTATGGTGTAAAGGCAAAGCTCCCTTTCATTCAAACTCTGAATCTGGAGTAATTCCACTGAAATTATGGAGTTACTCTGTCTTGCCCATTGATACACGGGGAGAAGATCTGGCTCATAGTTTTTTGTCAAAGAGCCCTGTTCATTCATATGGTAACTAGAATCTACTATAGGAATGAAATATAAAGCTTGGGAACAATATTAGCTGGGATAAAAGCCTCAGGACTGATTTGCTACTGATGATGTGATGTATAATCTCCAGATGTCTGAGGCATGAAGGTAGAGAAGAAAATTAATTACAGGGGCAGATAGTGACACTCCACTGTAGTTAGAATTATATTTACAATGCAAATTCCTGTTGTTTGGGTTTTTTAAAGCTTTCTGTCTCAGTGACACTATTGTGCTCTACACAGGCAATTGTCATTTAGCTTTGATTTCCAGCTTCTGTCAGTTTGTCACCACTTTATTATTTAAATATATTTTCCTCTGCCAAATAAAGGCATTGTGAGAGTATGACAGAAGAATTAGTACTTCTGAAAGAACCATTTCTGTTACTGTTGTAAACAATGCAAAAGCTGCCAAAAATCTTCTAAAATGAAGGAATAGTATTATTGTCTTAAAACTGAAAATAAAATATACATCAGATTTAACCAGGAACTGTCAGCAGAAGAGGGGAACATGTTTTATCAGGGATTTCTTAAAATTTTGTTCTTCCAACCGTCCTCCCTCACCCCCAGATCTCCCGCTCACCCCTTCAAAAAGAAGAGAGAAAAAAGACAGAAAAAAGCTGTAGCTTTTGTCAGAAAGATTACCCTGGAAAGTAATTTGCTACTTCAGAAGCTTTTTGAATGACTGATATATTTCATACCACTTTGCATGTCATTTACTTGGTAATGATTTGGCCCCCTCTGTCTCGTATACTCCAGATGTAGAAACTGGAGTCGCGTAGTTAGATACATAAAAATCTGTCTGTGGTCTCGTGTGTAATTTGTCTGTGTCGTTCTAAAAAGCATTTGCACAAATCTGGCAGCAGCGCAGCAGCTGCTAAAATCTTGTATCTTGAGAGCACGAACACGACAACAATCCCTGTTTTTCCTGAATCATTACTTATCTACACATCACTTCAGCACAGAGCACAACAAGGCAAAGTTGCTTTTGGTTTGCCAGCTTTATGAAGGGAGCCACTTGCTCCTCTTTTGAATAACGACAGCGAAACATGTTCGTTCCTGTATCATGACTCTCAAAAATCATGATTAGAATTCACAATAAAAAAAATTAATCATGGGGCAGCTACCAGCAAAGATGCTTTATAAAAACAGCATATGCAGCTAGTTTATTCATTTTCCATTCCCATTTATTTATTAATTTTGGCTTAGAGCAAGTGAAACGATAAAGGGAAATCAAAAGCAGGTGTTTTCTTTGATATTATGTCCAGATGTGCATAACTGACACAATGTAAATTGTTTTAAAAACATGGGTTCATTGACCTTTTCAAAAGCTGGATCTGTGAGAGTTAGAAAGATCGGTTCTTATGTGGAATTACTGAGTATGCTGGGAGGTTTGGGGTGTTTCTACTGTAAATGACGCTCCCAAAGCTATTTCAGTGGAAAGTCTAGAATCTGATGTTATTTATTCTTTCTCGCTCCTCTTCCTCCTCCAGTCATCCAAATCTGTGTCTATTTTCTCTAGTGTGAGTTGTGTCACTGATCAGCTCTGCCTTCAGCAGATCTTCTGGCTCAAGAGTGCTTTCAGGTGTTTGCCTGGTTGGAGAAAGAAAAAAAGAAAAGGAAATTAAAATTAAGTGAATTTATGAGACAAATCATTTGGAGAAATCACGTTCACGTGCTCCACCAGTGTCTCCTTTCCCCTACATCCCACACAGCCAGATTCTCTTTTATACTTGTTCTAAGTGGCGATTTTGAGTTTCTCCCCATATGGCTGAGTGTGCTAAAGCCAAGTACTCTGTGCTTACTGTAAGGACGCGGGAGAGCTGCCAAGGAGCAGCAGGACACCCCAGGATTAAATTGTGCCAAGACAGAGAGGGAATGTAACATGTGGAGGAGACAAAACAGGGAGAAGATAGGTAGAAGATCACTAGCAGTGATAATAGACAGGAATGGGGGTTTCTTGCTGTCTGCTTTAGGCAGCCTGAATTTAAGTGCAGTTCAGAGACTCAAGACCAGATGTCCAGGTCCCCTACGCAGGGACTGCAGAGGGAAAGGCAAACAACAGGTATAATTCAGAGCATTTAGCCAGCAGTTGGCAGACTATAATCCAAGTTACCAAGTAGATTTCAATTCCTAAGAAAACAGTGAAGTCAGTCAAGGTTGGCTCTGTATCCCCATCATCCCACTTCCCCACCCTTCCGTGCTCTGCAAAGTCTGTGTGAAGCCGTCATGCCAAGTGTGATCACACCTGTCTCCCAGGGGCACCAACAGAGGCAGAGAATAAGCCAAAGCAATTTCATTTTTAAATTTGAGTTTATATTCATGGCAAAGTTTCCACAGCGATCTCCCAGCTGGAGTGACAATAACGAGTTGTCATGCATTTAATGTATAATACCTGTTTTCATTAAAGCTAAATAGGTTACTGTGAGCCAGTGGGCAGATTCAATTCTGGGGCAGAAAAAGCCCCAAACCTCAAGCTGATACCAAACACTGGCTTGAAAATAAATAAATGAATAAATAAAACCCTTCTTCCTTCAACCAAGGAAGGCAGTGAAGAAGAGCATTCTCCTTCTTCACCTTAAGAGAGACTTTTCATGTTGGTACCTAGCATGATCGCTTGCTCTGGATGTGGAGCTTCTGATCTCTGCTGCTCCACAACAGGACAGGGAACCTTGAACGCCAGCTCTTGGTCCCTGCACCCTCTAACTGCCACCACCTCTTTCAAAGGCTTGATGGCATTTGCAGACATACTGCGCTGCACACATGCATCTCAAAGGCCTTTTAACCTAATCCATATTTATAGATCATCTTAATTAAGTATATACTGGGAAACCTTTGTTTTGCTGTTGGATGTTTGCAGTGGCTCAATCAATTCTAATTGCATCTATACGGATTATAAAGTGGGTGGCAACTTGTGTCAGAACTGCTGTGATTTTTTTAAATTAACCAGAGGTAACGTGACATGTTCTTGATAAACGCGGTAACAGCAGCAGGGAAGAGCATGGCTGCAGAAAAGGAGACCTGCCCTGGAATCGTTATTCCGAGAAAAACCCTGAAGACAGGGATTTGCTTTGAAATTTAGTTCAGATCCAGTTGACAAGGAGTCGATTAGCTTCACAATGAGCAAATGCAGCACTGTCTTGTTTGTTGCAAGAGAAAACAAACAAAATGTCAATAAAAAATTACCTCTTTGCCAGAGGGTTTCAACACAATTCGAGTGAAGAAATAAAGCTGTACATTCTGTGTCGCTTTAAAAAAAACCCACAGGTCTAGCGCCTTGATGTGTACCGAGGTAACCACATTTTTCATTCCTAAGCCCACTCTCTGTCTAAACTCATTTGCTTTTTCTGCAAAATGAAGAACAAACCCACACAAAAATGCTGAAATCCCAGCCTGTGCGGCTGACTACAGGCTGTGTATTTAGTCCAGAGAAGTTATACTGAGAGAAGTCAGTTGAGAAATGAAGTGCTCTTCCAGAGTGAAGAGCAAACAAAAATGGGGGACAAAAATAACTCATTTTTAAAAAACTGTAATTTAGAGTCAATGGAATATATTCTCCATTGATACATGTCCTCCTGAAGTCAAAGGGCTATTTGGATGTGTTTGCTGGCAAAAAAATTTGGCTTAATGTCTGCAATTCAGCTAATTTTGAATTGGTTGCTCTAACTGTACAGATTTAAATGTCTAAACACACATCTCATAGAGGCAACCCTTACATTCTCCATTATTTTTTCATGAGCAAGGACCGAGGAGTCAGTGCTTTAACAGCAGCCCAGTAGCTCCAGCCTCCTTCTATACAGTATTTCAGGGTGTGGGATCCACACTGTCCCTCTCCTGTCCCAGCCCAGTAAGTTGCAGTCATTATCTCTCTGTTTTTTTCCTGTAATGCACAGTGGGATAGCTCACATCTCCCGTAGCTCGGATGAGCAGCATCCTCCCTGCTTTCTCCTGTGAACTTTTTAACAGAGACATGGAGGCTCCAGGAGAGGGTTCTGGGTTGAATCGTCACCGTTTCCTATCAGTTAGTGCACAGCTCTGTGCTCAGGCTGCTGTTACCCACCTCCTTCTTTACAGGACGTGCAGACACCTACCTTGGGGTGTTGGTTCTGCTGTGGGGCCAGACAGTCCCCTACCAGCACTGCCTCAGGGCTTCATCAGGCGTCTCACAGCAGAGCACACGTTTGCTGTGCTCAGCAGTAGCCCTTAACACACTGAAAAGCTAGTTGTTTGTTGACAGTGCTGTCCTCAGCAGTCTTTTCTTTTTCTGTCTGCTGATAATATTTGTCTTTTTTTCAAAAAAGTGTATCTTCAGTCTCATTTAACACCTTCTGGAGCAGAGCACAGCAGTCACTTGGTGGTGCAGACTGGAAAGCACTTCCAACACAATTACAGCAATAGCAGACTGGAGAAATTTAAATTTGTTGAACATGCTGAGGTTATCACCCTTATTTTAGCAAAAGCAGCCCACTGATCTTAAACAACAAAGGTCAAGAGAAAAAGATGATCTCCTGCTGCATCGCCAGCACTGGGTCCTACAGTATCTGTAGGTTTTGTTCCTTCCAGTCCTGATAATCCACCACGTCCTGGAGCCTGGGACAAGCGTAAGGCTGAGCCAGAGAGAAGTTCCATTTCATCCTGTTATTTGTCTGAAAAAAGGTCTCTCTTGTTCCATGCACTAAACACATGCACAACAGGCTTTAATTCAACAAGCTCTCTGAATTGCCTGTTTCAATCAGATGATCCTGCTAGTAATGCCAACTCTTATTTGTTTTGGGATTTTTACTTAGAATGTTCCTATTTAATTAATATGTTGACAAACAGTCTTCCATATTTAATTGCTTCCAAAGGAGGAAATTTAATCATGTGTACTTGTTCTGTTTCTTAATCTTCAGTGCTCTGGCAGAGCACACTTCTGACATATGTGCATGGAATAAACTCATTTTGACTAGAGGTTATCGTGGATATCTACCATTTAAAATAAAAAGAGGAGTTAGGTGAATGCAGGAAGAGTGAAGTGATGTATAATGGGGATGGGGATGTGCCGGACTAATTTAATTGGGTATTTGAAGTAGCAGACTTGCACAGTATTTGACATTAAAGACTTTGTAAATGTAACAGCAAAGCTCCAAGTAAATGTCCCTTTTCCCTCTAAATAAATGTACTGATTTATTGCCAGGGCCCGAGATACTGTCCTGTGCCTGGAAGAAAGGGCTCAGTGTCAGGCTGCAGCGCAGGCAGCAGGGACATGTGGAAGGAATTGTAGCCGTGAATGTGTAATTCCTGGCCTCTGAGCGCTCTCAGAGCGCGGTGGCTTTTCCTCGCCTGGAGCGCCCTGAATGGGCCCATTTTGTGCTCTAGACAGTGTGTACGTTGGCAGAGCTCAACAGCTCCTCTGTGCTGCCCGAGCGAGGATGCTGGGGAAGTCAGCTGAGAACAGAAAGAAATGGTTGAAAATGTACTCCCAAGAGGCACGCAGTGAACATTTTGGAGGGCCCATTCTGATTTCAGGAGCAGCACCTTGGTCTGCTCCCAGACCTTAAGAAGTCAGTTGGCCTTAGACAAGAGCAGTCTGACCCTCAGTGTCCAACTGAAGGTCTTTGAAGGCATTTTCACAGCCTGACAATGATTTTTACTGCAATGTTGCACATCTGGGGCAATGTACTGCATTTTCCCGAGGCTGAAGAGTTACTGTAAGGAAAGCAAGCACAATGCAAAGAAAAGTGTCATCAGGAAATGATTGTGATCCATCATTTGGCACAAGAGCTGGAAATATAATTGTCATTAGAGAATACTTTACTTTCCCAGCAGGACAGAGCACTTCCAGGAACGATGCTGGGGCAACACGTATTTTGTTATGGGTCCAGTCTGTCCAAGGCCGTGGTGGTGTCCTTTCAGTGACGGGAATGGCACCACTCAGTTTGTGAGGCAGACTGAGATAACAAATGCTGTGACTTTTCCACAGCAAGGCAAGGTTCATCAGTTTAGCAAAAGAAAAACAGGTGAAGATTTTGTCTCTTCTTCCTAGACAAATCAGCGATAGCACTCGATGGTCTGACAAGGGCTGTAGCCTTCTCGTACCCAGTGTCCTTGAACTGTTTCCCAGTTTCAAAGCACAGCCATCCCTGGGTGTCCACAGGGGGACCTCCAGCTGCCTGGGGCTCATCTCCCTGCGGTGAAAGAGGCAAGATTAGCTTCTCTGCTTCTGCCGTGAAAGAGGCAATATTAGCTTTCCCTGAATGCAGAATGGGTTTCTCCTGAGGAGGAGCTGCACGTTGATCAGGCTCCAGGTACAGACAGGAGCTCGTAGCTGGGATGCCCTTGAGGCTGTGTTGTGCTGTGCCGAAGAGCTCTGTGTCCTGCTGGGTGTCCTACAGCTCTGGGAACACCCGTTGTACATGATGATAATAAGGATGACACTGCTTTTAGCCTCAGTGCTTCGTCTGCTCTCGCAGGGTTAGCATCGTGGTGAGTGGAGCTCGTGGTGGTGGGCATGAGGAGCTGAAGAGCTGAGTGCAGCCAGTCGTCCTCGGGATGCAGTGTCTCCCCAGTGCTGGGGAAATGGACTGTAGGACACCACTAACGTTTGCCTTTCATTTGCTGTACTCTTAGATCCTGAAGGTTGGGTTTGTGGGGTTTTTTTAATGCACTAACTTTTGGGTTTATTTCTGCGTTTCCAGAGGAAGCCATGAAGTATCACAGTGGGCCTCCAAAGAACGCATACATGGAGCAGAGCTTCCAGGGCTTGAACCCCGTCCTGAATATCCCCATCAGTGCTGCCCGCATGGACCAGGCCAAGAGGAACGCGGGGCTCGTGGGCGCCCAGCTGGAAGCCTGGGTGGACTCTCTGGTTGGCAGCATCTGGTCAGCTGTGGACATCTGCAGCACAGGACCCACCGCCTGCCCGGTCATGCAGGGCTGTGCCCAGACAGCCTGGAGCTCCCTCAGCCCCGACCCCAAATCCGAGCTGGGACCTGTCAAACCCGACGGCCGCCTGAGGTAGCATCCGGTACGCTCTGCTCCGGCATAGGTTTTTAAAAGGGAATTTAACCTTGCTCATATGTGAATCTCGCATCAGATTTCAGAAACCTAAGGGAACATTATATTTTTTTGTTACTTATTGCAATATAATTAATTTAAAAAAAAAAAAAAGGAAAAAAAGAAAAAGCTCTGACAAGGCCTTTGGCACTGCCCTCTCCATCAGCTCTGTCAGGAGCAGCCTTGGTGGCCCCACAGCCTCTGCTGCCCCGCAGTTCCCAGCTGCACCGCACACCCTCCGTGGGTTTTGAAACAGTAGCAGCAAGCCATGGAGAGGGCAGTGAACGAGCAGCTGCCAAAAGTGTTTTTTAAAAATAAATTTGTCTGTACCTCTGCTGTTTCATAGGCTTTCATTATTTTGCTACCATGAATAAATCACAGCAAAATTCCCTTTACTTACATTTCCTGGGGAGGTTGGTTACTGCAGGCTGGAGCCTGTATGGCCGCATTACCTCGCAGAACATGGAGTAATTATGATACACCCTCACTCTTTCTTTTTTTTTTTATTAACACAAACAAATTCTGGACTCAGCTAATGTCTGTTGTTATCCTAGTTAGAGAAAATGAGCAAAAGCAGAAACTTTCAGATTATTTTCAGAGATTTCTTAGACTAATTTCATTATAAACTCTAAACGGAAGCAGTGTTTTGCTATATTAATCTTTTATGTCTCATTCAGTCAGGTTCAGGGTCTGGGAGTGTTATTTGAAGAATAAAGAAGCATTTTGGATTTCAGCCCTTTCAAATCTGCAGGTTTTTTTTTCCAAGCCCACCAGCACCTAAGCATTTTTGCAGATTTCCAGTACAGCAAGTGTGTATTTCGGGGGTGGGTTGTGATTTGTCTGCTCACACCCTTTGCTGATTTTGCTCATGAGCCGAGCTTAGTGTCTTCTCAGGCAGTGGAGTTGCACAGAACCAGTAAAATGGTAGAATTGGGACCTAAGTCTGCAACAACACGTTTCTTTCCTAATTTGAGTAGCAGCTAGTAAGTCTTAACACTAATTCCCTCCCTTGATCTCAGATATGCCAGCTCTTCATGAAGAAGGGTCCTTCTAGGCTTGTGCAGGGCATCTGGCTGTGCGGGACGTGGGTTCCTGACCGAAGCCACGAGCGGACCGTGAAGGAGAGCAGTGCTGTGTTTCTCAATGCTTTTACTTTATTCTGTCAGCAAACTGTACCCTTCTCTGTCTTCAGAATTTCTAGCAGGCTGCATCCTGTTTTAAATAGGCATCTTTTACATCATTTTAAGCTGCATTTTCTACAGTAGGAAAAAATTCCTTTACATTCCAAGAACTTTTTAAGTATAGGCAAAATCATCTCCAACTAATGCATTTTACATTAGCATAAAGCATGCACTTTGTTGTTGCTGTGGTAATCTCATGTTAACAACATAACCTACAACGCCTATTAAAAGCTATTGGGTTAATTTGGAAAAAAGTCCTGTTGATGTAATAAAGTAAGGTATCTGTTTACCCTTCTGTGTGTATGACTAACTTGCTGCTGAGAGTTAAGCATCCACATCAGAAGGGAAACAGACCCTTAAATCATTCTGTAATCACATCGCACCTCTCAGAAAGGTTGAATTCCCTTTTAAACAACAGTTGTGAGATGATCGTAACACAGATCCCAGTGGCTCGTAGTATCTCTCTCTGTAGTATTGGTTTAAAGCTACTTGCAGTTTGCTTTGGACTTGAAATTGCGGTGTCAGCTGTGCTGGCATTAAGGCAGAGCATTGAAATGTTTATCTGGCACAAAAATGGATGCATAGAAGGAAGAATTTAGGTATTTATTATTTATGTTTTAGTCAATGACTAATTAGTAGGTGCTGCTTTTGCAGCTTGAAGATTATGTTATCTTACTAACTGAAGATGCCTTTATTAAGAAAAGGCCTTCCTCCCCTCACACCTCCCTTTCTTTTTTGTCTTGATTTTGACAGTCACGAGAGCTGTAGTTTTAGGAAAGGTTGTAGCAATGAGAGCTGGTTGAAATACTTCAGCCAAGAGAAATGTTCCAGCTTTTCAACTGGCTCTAGAGGCAAGCGTGTTTAAAACCAGGGTTGCCAACAGGTTTATATAATAGAAACACAGTGTTATTACTTACTCAGTAGGGGTTTTTTAACAGTGCTTGTTTTTAATGTAACATTCCTTCATGAAGTTCAAATTTTCTGGGGACCTCCAATCCTCACTGTGAAATCCAGGGCTTTAGTCACACTGATGCAATGGCAACTGCACCGTTCAAGCCCTACAGATTAAATGAAGAACACCATATTTAGGGCACACAATAAAATTCATTAACAATCCTAGTCAGTGATTGTTCTCAATAAGACTACCGGGGTAGACACAAAACCTTCAGTCTGTCTTGTACATGAGCATATGTATAAGGGTGCACCCACACACACACATGCAGATAACTTGGTTTTTAAATGTGATACTTTTTTAATTCTTAAACAGGAATCTTTTTAAGTGCTTTGTTTATAAGTTTTCATTATTAATTAGACAAAGCAGAAGGTGGCGACAATCCTATCTTCTGTGGGTAGAAGAAAATGTGCCACTTTTATCATTTAAAAATAAGATACAAATTATTTTGTTTTAGTACCAAAAAGGGAAAGAAAGAAAATGGTTGCTGTATTTATTTGCATTATGTGCTAAGTTCAAAATATCTCAAAACAACATTTGTTAGTTTATTTTCTGAAAGACAGAAAGCATCTACACCAAGAAGTTTCGTAGCAAGCTGGCAATGCCAGTGCTGCTGTTAAAACATATGATGGAAAACTCAAGAGGCTGGTCCTGCAGTCCTTTCTGAGGCAAAACTTCCACAGAGCGTTCATGCTGAGTAAGGACTTCAGACAGTGTGCTCTGAGTAAATACTGTCTGTGTCTGAAGTCATCAAAGGATGAGCTGCCACGTTTGGAACATCTTCTGGGGACACTGTCGAGTTTTGGACCTAAACAACCACCTGCAGACACAGATCCGTAAGTTCTATACAGGACACTGTGTCTGAGTTACAAAGTGCTGTAGTTGTGAAGAAAAACCATGGAAAGGAGGGCTCTGTGTCAGGGATCAGAACTTGCTCCAGGCTGATTCTGTGGTAGCGCTGCTAAGACCAACATCCTACTTAGTGGCTTTTCTGGTTTGAAATGGCACATGGAACCTATGATGAATATTCTGTTTTGTTAGAAGAGAGTAACTTCACAGATCTTACATTTGGTGAAAAGGAGAATTCAGAGCAGGGACGCACAGTTCGTATAAAACAAGAAAGTTATGCATCTTCATTTGAATGTGCAAGTGTTATTTTCCAGTCACGCTGGCTGGTCCTGGTTGAACGGGACTCAAACTGAAAGCCAGTTTTGATCAAAATCCCTTTCTACGGGAGAGGGGTGTGTTTCCCTGTGCACACATCTGTCCTGTGTGCGATGCTTTGCTCGTTTAAATTCCCTGCCCATTCTGTGCGATGGCCACACAACGCTTCTGTGATCCATCAGCATTGCACAGGAAGGGAATGTGGCAAAATGTAGAACATCTACGTATGTGATTTAATGATTTATGTCCAAAGTCAGTGTTAGCATTATGCAGACTTGTTTATATGGTAACATTAAGCCTTGAGGCTAATAGAAATAGCTCAAATTACAATTTATTTTCAGATTTGTCCAGCTCTTTCTTTGATGGCATTTGGACATTGAGCAGTAATTTTGGTAGTTTTCATTTTCTGTTATTCAGGTTTTTTTTAGAATTGAAATTATGTCTTAATTTTTTTGTGCTCTCGGCAAGCCAAGAATTTTAACAATTCCTTCCTTCATGATAGCAGGTGTTAGCACAGGGAAGTCCATCTGTATCTCTGTTGTTAAGCCTTCGTTATTGCACAGCCCAGAGATGCAGGAATGTGCATTCGTGTGTTACAAATTGACTTTCCTGGGTATTGGCTTCAGTGCGCGATGCATGTACAGTTGTTTAATGGCATATTAACAGTGATCCTGCAGCACCTTCAGAAGGACCAACTAATGTGTGTTCACCTTCTGCCCATCTCCTACAGCACTAATTGCCATACTAATGAAGTCTCCATCACTCTTAGCTACGACCATAGTGAACAGAGTAGTGAAATCAGTGAATCAGAACTGGGATATTCTAAACCTGGCCAAAGCGTAAAGAAGATTCTGAAACTTTGCAAAAGTTTGACACAATCGTGCTTCAACAAAACTTACAACAAAGCAGGCCCCTTCCACACAGCAAGGCTGAGAAACACTGATACCGGGAGATCTCAGCTTTGATTTCGCTGATTAAAAAAAACAAAAAACAAACGAGATCCAGATTTTTATTGTGGCCAGGCAATGAGGACCAACTTTCTGTTGATTTCTCTAGTTCTCTTTCATCACAGCTGTCAGAGAACTGCCAGCTTGCCGCTGGCTATCACACCCTCCTTACTGCCTTCCCGATCCCAAAGCTTCAGGAGTTGGCCACATGAAACCTTGGCCGACTCCACCGCTTTCCGTTGAGCAGGAAGTTTTGTACTTGCCTGAGCCAAATCCCTTAGGCTTCTTCAAAAACCCTAGCTGCACATCAAAAATGTTTGCTTTTCAGAGCAGCCTTCGGTCAGCTCAGTGCTAACACATGTGAAGGAGTTGGTAAAAGTGATAGCAATTATCTTTTCCTGACTTTCAGGCATGGGTATTTAATATATGTAATAGTAGGTTTGGTTATTTCAGCAACAGAATAAGACTGACGTGGTTGAAAGTGGCTAGTGGCGTTTCCCACTGTCCCTTGCTTCAGGCTGGTTGTGAAAAGATAGTGATCCATATGTGCTTTTACTTCAACCATGTAAGGCCTCCAAGATACTGTTAAGGATTTGTAGGACATTACATTAAACCGGTATTAATGGGCAATTGAATGCATCGTGTAAGTGTTTCCAGACCAAAGCCTCAGGCTTCTGCGGAGACAGCTTCAGGGCTGATGCCCACAGAGAGGGCAGGAGCGACATGGCATAGGAGGGGACAGGACACTGCCCTTTGAGAGGGCCAGCAGGAGTTACTGAGATCAGGGAGCTGTGCTGCAGGGCCCCTGCTGAGGGAAGGCGCTGCTGCAACCCGCAACAGAGGAGCCAAACAGATGTGAATTAGGGTTAAGGCAGCAAGGAAGAGTTCGTAAGGACATGCATTTTTTCCTGTAGGCTCTTCAAGAGTGAGCAAATGCTCTGATTTGTAACAACTCCCTTTGAAGGTGTAGAGTAGAAAAGCCTGACCTTTGAAAACCTTCCCCACCACAGTAAGGGAAAGAAGAATCAGGCTGAGAGCGTTTAAGATTGAGGCAACAAGATCTTTCAGCCCGTGTTACCCAGGACCATGGCAGCATTACGCCGTCTCCTGTTGAGTGTGGTGTTGGCAGCGATTAACTCTCATGAGGTAATACTGCAGGTACCATGTTGATTTTGTTCCTTAATACTAACAGTAGCGTGTAGATCACTCTCTTCTCTTTGCTTCTGCCTTGGTTACCTTCTTTTGCTCATGGGTGCTATCACAGCTGCTACCTCACTGTGTCTGCAAACACGTTTACCTGATAACAACAAAAAAAGGTACCAGAAATCTCCTTGAACTGAATGTACAATCTATGCAAATTCTCTTTCTTCTTCATTAAAACCTAGAAGTATTACTTGTAACCTTGCCAAATAAACAGCAAGATACTGTACAGGTGCCTCTGATAACAGAGTGACAATTCTAGGCGCGGTTCATTGCGCTGCATTTGTATATTGTAATGACTTGTCTTTGGTTCTGTTGTAATTAACACCCTCAACTGGAAGATAGCAATCTTTTGCTAGGGGAGCACCTTCAGTTTGCTGGGAATATTCTGAAGAAGGATGTCTATGGCATTTCATTTTATTTTCCTGCTTGCATCCAAAAGAAGGCACAGACCTGCTGGCCAAAATTAGGCTGCTGTTCCAGATTTTCCTTGGGTGAATCCTGTCGGCTTTGGACCGCTCGGTGTCTGTTCCCATTGTGGCATCCAGTGTGTTGCCCCTTAAAGAAAGCCTTACTTTTGTCCTTTCTAAATGTGGCCTTAAACTGTGTTAGGAAGTTCCGTGTTGTCTGTGTCTTGCTCACTTTTTCTGTTTGTTGTGGAAGGAATAAAAGGCACCTTGAGATTTCTATTACAGCTCAGTTGTGTTGCTGTCAGCTTACACTTCACAAATACAATAGAAATTGCTTACAAATGCAGTCTTTAAGGGGAGAAAATGACCTTCCCTTTGGGCAAAAAGAAAGCTCAGACGTTCATAGAAACCTTAGGAAATTATGAGCTCTGTCTTCTGCAACTCACTGTAGATAAGGAAGATTGATTTAATTACCTTCAAAGTACAAACTTAATAACTTTTAATTTATCTTCAGACTATAACAGGACAGACTGCTTTCAGATGCACAAGACAAATTCTGGAGTAATTTCACTCATTTTGACATGACAGTAGCATTGCTGCTGGCAGCTGGGAGAAGGTATAGCCTCTTAATGGTATGGTCTTAAAATCTGAAGAACTTCACCACTTGGGGACAGATTTTGAGTGCTGGTTGGGAATCTAACAGCATATTTAGAAGACAGAGGAGGCTGGCTATATGATCAATAAATGCATTTCCAAAAAAATATGGATTTTGGAGCTTCATCCAAAGGTCAGCAGAAACGGAGAACTTCTGCTAAGGCTTGTATCTGTTGGGTTTCTTTTTAATACTTTTCCCCACGGAGTACTGTTGTGTCTCAGTAGCACCAATATTCCCGGCAGGCTGCGGTGCTTTTAGGAACCCCAAATCCCAGGTTATTTTGGTATTCAGATGCGGATACAACCCAAAGGCAACAGAAAAGGATTTACATAGAAAACAAGATTTGGGGGAAAAAAAGAAAAAAAAAAAAAGAATTAATTTGAGTTAATGAAATGGTTTTTCTGACTTTGTCATTTTGGTTTTGGTTTGGGTTGATTGGATTTTTGTATTGCCTAACATAGTCCATAATAAGTTATTCCTATTCTGTCATTTTCAAAGACTGGTGGTAATATAGTTTTAAGAAATAACTATTTTGTTATAGATCATAATATGCATAAAACTGTACAGAAATATTTTGTAAGCTATTGAATAAGAAAAAAGAAAAACCATGTATATACAGCAAAGTTTAAAAAAAAAAATTGGAAATTCAAATGGAACACACTGAAAGATGTAGATATTTTGCTATTTATTTAAAGGAGTATTTTATGAGATATTGAAATGTCTTAAATTGACTGGTAATCAAAGTTCAAAGTCAGAATGCTTTTCTTGTAGTAGAATGTGATTTTCAGCAATTATTGCACTACCCGGTTTTGCACCCTTTTGTCTTTCATTTAGCAGAAAACAATGTGCCTTAGCTGTATTCTTTGTCAATGGGAGTTTGGTTTTTTTGTCCGACAAAGCAAATTTTTTTGCAGAAAAAGAAATGGATGTATTAAATACTGTATTATACCAAAAACACTGCAGTTGTATATAAATGCTTTCTGTCATACTGTGTTTTCAGATGCAGAATTTTAAAATAATAAAAAAAAAAGGCTGTCTTTAGGAATAGATGTGCACCTGGTATTATTTTTCAACCCCACTAATGTAAGTCTTTATGTAAAAGAACTTTGTTGCATGGTGACATTTAGGAGGAAAAATGGGAGCAAGCACTACTGATCTGTGCTCCTGGTGCTGATGGCAATTCGCTGCCCGGGCAGTCAGTTCTGGGGCTCTGTTTCCCACCCACAGCAATTACAGGGGAAACGTTCAGGGACACCTTTTGGAAATCCATTTTTGTTGGTCAGGCCAGTGGCTCGCAGGCATTGCAGCGCTAACTGCAGCCTCACGGGGGGTGCCACCAGCGGCTGCGCTGGGAGATGGGTTGGACTCCGCAGGTTGCTGCCTGCACCGTGGGATCCAGAGACACATCCAAGCTTTTTGGGTCCTGGTTTTCAAACACAGATGACCACTTTTGGGTCAGATTCTCTCAGCCTTTTCTAAAGATGTCAAGGAATGGTAGGCAGAGGGGGCTGAAGGGATTAACAAAGGGCTGGTTCTGTTTTCTGAGGGCCACTAACTATGAGGAGAGTTGGAGCAGTTTCTTCCATGCATCCCCAAAGTGTACATCACCCCAAAGAGACAGGACTTAGTCATGGGCTTATGACTAAGCAGCCTGGGTGCAGAAATAGGAATTGATGTTAGGGCTGGCTGGTTACAAGGACAGAAAAATATGGGTCCTTTGCCTTTACTGAACAGAGGAGCTCAGAAAAACACATTTCTTCCACAGTCCCCCCCCCAGCAGGTTATGGACCCAAATGAGCCATTGCCTAATGTTCACCCAGTATGAGCACTTAAATTTATTTTCTTACCCACAGGCTCCACTCAGCACTGATTCCTTGGCGCTGCTTCCATAGATACAATGGGGAAAAACAGTTAAATTCTCCTACAAGTGGATTATTGGTATCTTTAGCACCATCCTCATGATGTATTGCAGGTTTGTCTCCTAGTGCTGTTTTTGATGTGGGATGCTTGAAAAAAACTCCTTGACGACCTTCCAAAAGTCTTTGACACCACCAGGAGTCTGCGTGACTTTTTCATGCACCCCCAAGCAGTGCTGCAGGTTCTCCTGGCAGCCAGAACTGCTTTTGATCTTGTGTTTTCTTTTCACCTGCTGTTCAGGAATTCCACTTTTTTGGCACTTAGATGCAATGAGGTCTGTTTAAACAGAGGAGGGAACACAGTGCTAATATTTTAGTCCTGGCACAAAGAAAAGATTTTCTGTGGAGGGAAGGAAAAAAAAAAGTGCTCTCAGCTCTGAAGCCTGGTTTTATTTATAGATGGTATAAGAAGTATGCTTCTTTTTTTTTGCAGGCTTATTCCTCATCCAGCTGCTAATACTCATGGCATATTAAAAATGCTCAACCTTTGTTTTAATTATCTCCAAATGTGTCATTGGCTGCTACTTCAAAGACAAAGGGAAAAAAGGCATCAAGCTACCAGGTGCTCAAGCATTTTGTTTTCTTTGTGGACTTCAGCTAGAATCTGCAGGCTCTTCGAGGCTGCACACAAAAATCCTGATGCATCACGGCGTGGTCTGTCTGAGCTGTCTACAGCATCCTGCTGGCTTGAAAGACTGTATCGCTGTCTACTTGAGATAGCGTCATCACATTATTTTGCATCTGCCATGCCTAATCTGTCTTGATCGTAATTAATATTTATGGAGTGTAGAAGATGGTTAATTCACGGTAATGACACAAAACTTAACTGCAGAGCAGTTTGCAAATAGGAAGGCACAGTGAACCAAGTGCAACAGGAACGAGGTATTTAATTGCCTTGACAATAGGGATTTCATTTCAGTGCTCAGATATTTGACATTTCTTCATCCGTTACTAAAGATTCTGTAGCCTATTTTTTTAAATCAGAAAATGTTAGTAATCTGAGGCTTCACAAATGCAAACAGCTGTAAATCTTTTGCTGTCTATTAATGTTTTAAAAGGCGGGAGATTCTTGAGGTTATATATAATATATATATTTTATATGAGGAGATTCATGAAATTAAAATTCATAACATTTTAACTATAGTTAAAAACCAGACACAGATGGCAATTTTTCACTCTTTTATGAAAGACAATCTTGGCTATTCTGGTGCCAAATCAGCATTTCAGCATGGTTTACTCCTTCACCTGGCTGCCCTTGGCTGGAAGCCCTGGCTTGCAGGGCTGTGAAACAGGGCACAGCTGAGCCACCAACTGCTAATCCTGCCCAGCTGAGGAGGGGGTTGAACCTGGAGATGGGGGACATTGCAGGGACCAGGTTCAGATACCGAGTGGCCTGGCATCAATTGCCAAACACCAGGTTGTTCTGAGCAGCTCACTATCACAGTGGTTTCACACCAGGGTCCTAATTTCATGAGCAACGAGTATCAGGTTAATTTATTAGTAGTATTAACATGATCCAGAAATACACTGCATTTTGCAAATTTAAGCCTGATCCAGCCTCTAGTTACAACCCTCTTCTAGAAAAGGCCAAATTGGACTTTTCTCTCCACCTTCACATAAAGCATGATGTAAATGTACACATCTGCTCTGCATCAGTACCTACCCCATCCTGGGGAAGCCTTTGGATCCACAGCTTTTGTTACTCCAGAAGCGAAGCTGCTGCAGCAGTGTGAAAGATCAGATGCTGTGGCCCCCGCTGGGTCTCTGTCAGCCTGCTTGAATAGAAATTAAAAGATGTTTGAAATGCAGCAGGGATGTGACATGGACCTGAATTTAAAACAAAACAACAAACAAACCACCTGAAAATAAAGTTTAAAAAATCCTCTCTCCTGAGAAGGGAATGGTTGTAGGTTTGGGTGCCCAGATACATAAGGTGTGGCATTTGTGCCCAATCTGCCAATGTAAGTTATAAGAAAGATGTAAACCAGTTTTTCTTTTTCACCATGAAACATCCGTCATGGTCCTTTGTGCTGGTTTCAGTCTGCCAGTGATCCCGTCACCTCAAAGGGCAGCTGAATTAATACCTCCACCAAACACACTGTGCAGCTCTCCAAGGTCACCAGGTGCCCTGCAGTTGTGTGGCTGTGGCCCCAGCCCCTGCAGACCTCCATTGTCGGGGGCCCGGCCGCCGCCGGCAGAGCACAGGGCAGGGCCAGGGGCTGAGCCTCCAGCCTCACCAGCAAAATGGGAACCTCATCAACCCTTCTCCACCTGCAGCACAGAGTTCCAGTAGCAACAGCAGCTCACATTAATTATAGACCATTTATAAAATACACATTTGACTTCAGGAAGACACAGGCCAAATGTAAGAGGCATATATTAATATACATATACATTAAAAGTATGTCTGTGTGTATATATATGTGTATGTAAAATCAGAATTGCAGAATAATTCTGATCAGCAGGACTCTGGGGATGTTACCTGAGCCAATGCCCTGCTTGGAGCCATACACTAAACCACACACCATATACTCTCTTCTATTGAAGACTATATAGGCTGGATGCCCATGTCACACCAATAGTGCCCTGCTCTGACCCCAGCCCTCTCAGGGACGACAATGGGGCTGACACCCTCAGTGTTTTGTTTTGGTTTTTTTTTTTTTCTGTGGTTCAAGTTGGTTTTTTTTAATAACAGAATAGCCCAGAGACTGTGTCAATCTGTTGAGGGGTCCAAGCAGTCCCTCCAAGCAGACCTCACCCAGCCACTGTAAGAGAGCCTGTAGCCTTCCAGACAGCTCTGAAAAGGTCAATAATAATTAACAAAAGTGGTATATATAGGTTGTGTTCAGCCCCTCTGTGTCTGGGTGTTGACAAGACTTGAGTCATGGCAGCCCCATGCTACATGAGCCACTTGTAGGCTCTATTTGTATTTCCTCTGCCTATAAGTTCTCCTAGAGCTGGTAGCATGGAGCAACCATGTGATGGAGCAACCTCTTCCCAAGGCATTTTAGTATTGCACAACGTACAGCCTTCAAGTAGGAGCAGTATTTCACTTACATAAATGAGTTAAAATAATTTACTCCTCTTAGTCTGCTTCTGTAATTGTTTTTTTTTTCCTAACTAGGACTTGCATAATAATAAAAGAGATTTGACTAGAAACATAAAGTACATTTTAATGAGATCTCATTTATGAAAGTCTATCACTGGATACATATGGCAAGGAAATGAAAGTATTCTTATAAGAGATTAATAGCCAAGATCAAATATTTCACTTTCTAATAGAGTCCGCCTATATGTGCTTTTAATTCCTTGCTAAATTTAAATTTAAAAGAGCTTTTTTTTGTGTGTTGAAAGCAAGCCACTGCCTGCCACGTCATCCCCGATTTTCCATTACTGCTCACTGATGGTTTGCATTCATTAGCAGACGACGTGTCCAGCCCTGGCCTTCGGAGGAAGACATGACTTCTTGCCTCCAGGACAAAAAGAAAAAGTGGTGTGAGCTAATTCCCAGCAGCTCGGCCGCAGCGAGCCAGGCCGTGTGGCTCAGCAGCAGGTGGGTGTCCTCCAGGGAGGGACAGTGCAGGGGACCATGCTGGCCCTGTGCCCGTCACGGCAGGGGGATGCAGCCGTGCCCTCACCTTGCAGGGAGGTGAGACAGGCACAGCGCTGGTGTTGCCATCATGCAGGCATGAAGAATAACATATGGAAACAAATGAAACATATGAAAAACTGCCGAGGGCCCCGCTGCCCGGGCAGGCGGAGGGAGAGGGGCAGCGCTGGCTCAGGCGTGCTCTTGGCCGGCAGCCTCAGGTTGTGGAGGCACCAACCGGCCTCGCCAAGCCAAGCGCAGAGCGGGTGAGGGGCTTTGCGAGACCTGATTCCAGGCTGCGTTATCCAGCACACGCAGCCATCAAAATATTTAACTGATTTCTACACTGAACCAAGGTAACGGGCTGGGGAAAGTGTAACTTGGGACCTGCAGAGATCTTACACCTTCCAGACGATCAAGGCAATGTCTGAATGTATTCAAAAGCATGCACTTTCTTTCCAAAATTCTCTGTTTGGAAGCTTTTCTCTCTGATTTAGTCCTCTCCATGGAGCCAACGAGTCCTAAACAGGAGGTCC